ATTTTTATTAATTTTTATTAATTTTTATTAATTTTTATTAATTTTTATTAATTTTTATTAATTTTTATTAATTTTTATTAATTTTTATTAATTTTTATTAATTTTTATTAATTTTTATTAATTTTTATTAATTTTTATTAATTTTTATTAATTTTTATTAATTTTTATTAATTTTTATTAATTTTTATTAATTTTTATTAATTTTTATTAATTTTTATTAATTTTTATTAATTTTTATTAATTTTTATTAATTTTTATTAATTTTTATTAATTTTTATTAATTTTTATTAATTTTTATTAATTTTTATTAATTTTTATTAATTTTTATTAATTTTTATTAATTTTTATTAATTTTTATTAATTTTTATTAATTTTTTATTAATTTTTATTAATTTTTATTAATTTTTATTAATTTTTATTAATTTTTATTAATTTTTATTAATTTTTATTAATTTTTATTAATTTTTATTAATTTTTATTAATTTTTATTAATTTTTATTAATTTTTATTAATTTTTATTAATTTTTATTAATTTTTATTAATTTTTATTAATTTTTATTAATTTTTATTAATTTTTATTAATTTTTATTAATTTTTATTAATTTTTATTAATTTTTATTAATTTTTATTAATTTTTATTAATTTTTATTAATTTTTATTAATTTTTATTAATTTTTATTAATTTTTATTAATTTTTATTAATTTTTATTAATTTTTATTAATTTTTATTAATTTTTTATTAATTTTTATTAATTTTTATTAATTTTTATTAATTTTTATTAATTTTTATTAATTTTTATTAATTTTTATTAATTTTTATTAATTTTTATTAATTTTTATTAATTTTTATTAATTTTTATTAATTTTTATTAATTTTTATTAATTTTTATTAATTTTTATTAATTTTTATTAATTTTTATTAATTTTTATTAATTTTTATTAATTTTTATTAATTTTTATTAATTTTTATTAATTTTTATTAATTTTTATTAATTTTTATTAATTTTTATTAATTTTTATTAATTTTTATTAATTTTTAATATTAGTTTATTTTTATACTACCATACAAAAATTTAAAAACCATAGAGCACGTCATTATTTATGCTACCATTATAATTTTCAAGTTCCGACGTTCAAAAAATTGATGCTTCTATACAAATGTTCACCCCCCCCCCCATTTCCCCCCTTAAAATGTTGAAATGCAAAAACCCTGAAACACTTCATTATTTATTTATGATGAGAACCTACAATTCCAATTTTCAAGTTCTTACTTTTAAAAAAATCGATATTTGCAAATAAACTTACACCCCCCTCCGTTTCCCCTCCTTAAAATATAAAATTCCAAAAATCCTAAAACACATTATTATTAATTTGTACTCAGTAGCTGCAATTCCAATTTCCATGTTTTTAACTTTAAAGAGAACCAAAAACATGGATACTACCAAATAAATTTTCACCCCCGTTGCCCCCCTTAAATTGTGAAAATTTAAAAACCCTGAAGCACGTCATTAATAATTTGTAGTCAGTAGCTGCAATTCCAATTTTCATGTTTCTAACTTCATAGAGAACAAAAAAATCGATAGTCCCATACAAACTTTTACTCCCCGTTTTCCCCCCTTTTTCCCCTCTTATAATGTGAAAATTCAAAAACTCTGAAACATGTCATTATTTATTTATGCTTAGTAGCTTTAATTTAAATTTTCATGTTTCTAACTTTAAAGAACAAAGAGTTTTATTTAAAGCTTCCTCCCCCCATTTCCTTCCATTTCCCAATTTAAAATTTCAGCTTTCTAGGCTCAGTAGTTTTGGTTGTACGCTGATAGGTCAGTCAGTCAGTCAGTCAGTCAGTCAGTCAGTCAGTCAGTCAGTCAGTCAGTCAGTCAGTCAGTCAGTCAGTCAGTCAGTCAGTCAGTCAGTCAGTCAGTCAGTCAGTCAGTCAGTCAGTCAGTCAGTCAGTCAGTCAGTCAGTCAGTCAGTCAGTCAGTCAGTCAGTCAGTCAGTCAGTCAGTCAGTCAGTCAGTCAGTCAGTCAGTCAGTCAGTCAGTCAGTCAGTCAGTCAGTCAGTCAGTCAGTCAGTCAGTCAGTCAGTCAGTCAGTCAGTCAGTCAGTCAGTCAGTCAGTCAGTCAGTCAGTCAGTCAGTCAGTCAGTCAGTCAGTCAGTCAGTCAGTCAGTCAGTCAGTCAGTCAGTCAGTCAGTCAGTCAGTCAGTCAGTCAGTCAGTCAGTCAGTCAGTCAGTCAGTCAGTCAGTCAGTCAGTCAGTCAGTCAGTCAGTCAGTCAGTCAGTCAGTCAGTCAGTCAGTCAGTCAGTCAGTCAGTCAGTCAGTCAGTCAGTCAGTCAGTCAGTCAGTCAGTCAGTCAGTCAGTCAGTCAGTCAGTCAGTCAGTCAGTCAGTCAGTCAGTCAGTCAGTCAGTCAGTCAGTCAGTCAGTCAGTCAGTCAGTCAGTCAGTCAGTCAGTCAGTCAGTCAGTCAGTCAGTCAGTCAGTCAGTCAGTCAGTCAGTCAGTCAGTCAGTCAGTCAGTCAGTCAGTCAGTCAGTCAGTCAGTCAGTCAGTCAGTCAGTCAGTCAGTCAGTCAGTCAGTCAGTCAGTCAGTCAGTCAGTCAGTCAGTCAGTCAGTCAGTCAGTCAGTCAGTCAGTCAGTCAGTCAGTCAGTCAGTCAGTCAGTCAGTCAGTCAGTCAGTCAGTCAGTCAGTCAGTCAGTCAGTCAGTCAGTCAGTCAGTCAGTCAGTCAGTCAGTCAGTCAGTCAGTCAGTCAGTCAGTCAGTCAGTCAGTCAGTCAGTCAGTCAGTCAGTCAGTCAGTCAGTCAGTCAGTCAGTCAGTCAGTCAGTCAGTCAGTCAGTCAGTCAGTCAGTCAGTCAGTCAGTCAGTCAGTCAGTCAGTCAGTCAGTCAGTCAGTCAGTCAGTCAGTCAGTCAGTCAGTCAGTCAGTCAGTCAGTCAGTCAGTCAGTCAGTCAGTCAGTCAGTCAGTCAGTCAGTCAGTCAGTCAGTCAGTCAGTCAGTCAGTCAGTCAGTCAGTCAGTCAGTCAGTCAGTCAGTCAGTCAGTCAGTCAGTCAGTCAGTCAGTCAGTCAGTCAGTCAGTCAGTCAGTCAGTCAGTCAGTCAGTCAGTCAGTCAGTCAGTCAGTCAGTCAGTCAGTCAGTCAGTCAGTCAGTCAGTCAGTCAGTCAGTCAGTCAGTCAGTCAGTCAGTCAGTCAGTCAGTCAGTCAGTCAGTCAGTCAGTCAGTCAGTCAGTCAGTCAGTCAGTCAGTCAGTCAGTCAGTCAGTCAGTCAGTCAGTCAGTCAGTCAGTCAGTCAGTCAGTCAGTCAGTCAGTCAGTCAGTCAGTCAGTCAGTCAGTCAGTCAGTCAGTCAGTCAGTCAGTCAGTCAGTCAGTCAGTCAGTCAGTCAGTCAGTCAGTCAGTCAGTCAGTCAGTCAGTCAGTCAGTCAGTCAGTCAGTCAGTCAGTCAGTCAGTCAGTCAGTCAGTCAGTCAGTCAGTCAGTCAGTCAGTCAGTCAGTCAGTCAGTCAGTCAGTCAGTCAGTCAGTCAGTCAGTCAGTCAGTCAGTCAGTCAGTCAGTCAGTCAGTCAGTCAGTCAGTCAGTCAGTCAGTCAGTCAGTCAGTCAGTCAGTCAGTCAGTCAGTCAGTCAGTCAGTCAGTCAGTCAGTCAGTCAGTCAGTCAGTCAGTCAGTCAGTCAGTCAGTCAGTCAGTCAGTCAGTCAGTCAGTCAGTCAGTCAGTCAGTCAGTCAGTCAGTCAGTCAGTCAGTCAGTCAGTCAGTCAGTCAGTCAGTCAGTCAGTCAGTCAGTCAGTCAGTCAGTCAGTCAGTCAGTCAGTCAGTCAGTCAGTCAGTCAGTCAGTCAGTCAGTCAGTCAGTCAGTCAGTCAGTCAGTCAGTCAGTCAGTCAGTCAGTCAGTCAGTCAGTCAGTCAGTCAGTCAGTCAGTCAGTCAGTCAGTCAGTCAGTCAGTCAGTCAGTCAGTCAGTCAGTCAGTCAGTCAGTCAGTCAGTCAGTCAGTCAGTCAGTCAGTCAGTCAGTCAGTCAGTCAGTCAGTCAGTCAGTCAGTCAGTCAGTCAGTCAGTCAGTCAGTCAGTCAGTCAGTCAGTCAGTCAGTCAGTCAGTCAGTCAGTCAGTCAGTTAGTCAGGACAAACAATTTTATATACAGTAAGTTGGGATCATATGGAAAACTTTTTTATTATTAATTTTAGGAAAAAAGTTATTGTTCATAAAAAGTTCTGCATTATCTAAAACCTAGAATACAGTCATCAAATATCAAATTGTTTCAGTGGTATACGAGGTTTGTCAAAAAATAGGAGTTTTACTTAACAGTAAAGAACCTTTAAATTTGACAATATCGAAAATTTTCATTCAGAAAATTGCTAAATTCCTCACAAACATCAAGAAAAAGAAATCGTATCATGTTTATAGTAGAGAAGAGAGAGAAAAAATTATGGATTACCGTAATTAGGTGGATCAATGCAAAATCTAGAAAAAATCTGATTTTTCAGATAGATCGATGTAATTGCATATTTGAAAGTAATTTTCAATTCTAATCAACTTTTCTTAATGAAAATTTTCGATTTTGTCAAAAATAAACGTACTTTACTCTAGAGCAAAATTCATATTTTTTGACAAACCTCGTATACGGCTTTAAAAATTTTATATTTGATGACTGTATTCTAGATTTTAGATAATGCAGAACTTTTTATAAAGAATAACTTTTTTTCCTAAAATTAATAATAAAAAATTTTTCCATATGATTCCAACTTAGGGAGTCATACTGTATATAGATTTACTTAATTTTTATATTTTTTTTTTGTTTCCATGTATAAATAACATATTTTTGTATGACCCAGCTTAAATACCCACTTTATCACGCATTTTATTTCAGAAAGTGTTACTTTTTCGTTCTAGTTCGGAGAAGTTAATGTTAAATTTTGGCCAGCTGTTTAGGATATAACAGCGCTGTGCGTTAGGTAAACGTATCCGCTTCCGCGAAATTTTGCCCTTAAAGTTGGCGCCTCTGACCCAAACACTCCTAACCTGCCAACCTAGCGACCTGTCAAGATTATTTCCAACGTGCGCTCTCCTCCAACCATCCATCCGTTAGTTCTGCGATTTCGCGGCGGCCTCTATCGATCCCTCAGTCGGCCATGGTCACCTCAATCGTCGCCGCCTCCTCGGTTTTCGGGCTCCTAGTGGTTCTCGTTTCAGGACTTCCCTACGAATTTGACGACCAAAGAGCCACCAAGGCACTCTACGATGAGGTCCGGCAATTATTAAATTTAAATCAACAAGGGTATATGCAGGTAAGTTTTGTAAGAGATCTATCTAGCATTGGATGTGAACAAATTCGCCGTTAATAAATGATTTTTGATTGAATAAATTTGAAAAAAATATTTAATTAATTCAATTTATCGAAAAATTAATTGTAATAAAAATATACGTATTCAAATAAAATAACCATGCACAAATCCAATAATAATTAAATTAATTTAATTAAAACAATGTAACAAAAGTAAGATATTCGTCAATTCATAATACATGAATTAGACAGTGAATTAGTTTCAGTAAAAATTTGTTTTAAAAACTGTTATAATGTCCCATTAAAATAGGTAATTTTTTCTTATTTAAAGAATTGCGGGTAAATGATATAAGTGCCATTATTGATTCTAAAAATTTGAGTTATCAAGATGAAAAAAAATCAATGTTTAAAATAATTTCGGTTTTAGGCAATTGCTTTGGATATTTAGTGAATAGTGGTCTAACAAAAAGTATTTAATTCCCTGAAGAGATAAACACATGTGTTTGAATTGTTTAATAACATAAATACATTGTTTTGAAAATATTATCAAAGAAAAAGTCCTAGTGCGGTTGATTCGTTTAAAAAAAAGAAAAATAATTAATCTTTTATTAATTAAAAATACAAACTACTAGAATAGTTGCGTGTATGACTGAAAATAATAAAACTTGCTACTTATTTTAAACACACCTTTCTCTTCCTATTCAACACCTTCATATCCGTAGTGTAAATTATTCATTTTTCACTAATATGGTAATTATTTATAAGTAAAGAAAACTCAAAGCTATTTAACACATATTTTTAATTTAATTTAAAACAATGGAAATAGGCGGCTACTAGTTTCGGCCTCAATGGGCCATCATCAGGTCTAAAAATGTGGGTTACAAAATACAAAGTTATAAATGGGTCATATTTGTCTTAAAACTAGGTTAGAGTGTTTTGCATGTGTTTTGTGAAGTAAATATGAATCAATTGTGCAAACTGCAAAACTACCAGATACCTCTGGGTCAGGGATACATTGTTTCGTTTACAAATGTCAGCTGTCTGTAGTTACATAGATTTATATTTTCCATTTTGGACCAATTCACTGCAAAAAAGGATGTTAAACAATTTTTTACAGTGATAGTATGGCCAATTAGCTAATAAATGACACTAAAATATGAAATTCTTTAAAATATAGGGTCATACACTTTTCAGGTTTGACCGTCGATATGTTGTGATAATTACATTTTTTTTTTTAACAAAATTCAAAATTAAACTAAAAATTTAATCTCACCATGGAAACTTAATGATGAATGTAAAAAGAAGATTGTGAAGTAGAGAGAGGTAAAAATGTGAAGTGAGGTAACTCGATTTATGTAAAGAGAAAGTAGGAGAGGAGTAGGTAGTAAGTAATTAGCTAATAGAACCTAACAGAAGAATTACCTGCATAAAATAAAAAAATTAAGTTACTACTAGGAATCAGTTCTATGAGCTAATGGAAGGAAAGAGCGTGGAAGAAAAATGATAAAATAAAAAAAGTGTTTGAAAGTGTTAGAAATAGGTATAGATAATGAGCCAAGGATGAAACGAAAGAATATATACATACATCTAAGTATAGTCTACAAAACGTTTAAGGTATAGAGACAAATATGTGTTTTCTGTTCTTTAGCCAAGCGATTCGCAGTTGGAGAAAATAAATGAAAAAACCACAAAAAAGGTTATTGGGGTGGTAAGTAGTGATGAGAGTAGATGAACAATTAAAATGGAAAATAAAAGGTAAAATGAAACCTAAGGTGACAGTTAGTGAAAATAAAAGTAAGTAAGAAAAAAGAGAAAATAGAGTAATAGTGGTAAAAGGCAAGAAAGAGAAATAAGGAACCTTATTAGTTAATAGAGAGAAGTATGGAGTTAGTGGAACCCATTTCCAATAATAGTGTCTATTACCTACCTATTTTCCTATTTTCTCTTCACCTCCTTTCACATTTTTACCTCTCTCTAATTCTCAATCTTCTTTTTACGTTTCATCGTTAAGTTCCAACGGTTTGGACTTTTGGGTAGTGTAAATAAAAATTAAGCATTTGCTGTTTCTTGAAAATTGGTAATAAATCGTATATACTTTCCAATAAATAATTTTTTTAGCTAGAATTGTGGAATACGATTTATTTGATTTGACTAATTACGATTTGTAACTAATTTTTAAGTGACCGAAATTGCTTAATTTTTATTGACACTACCATCTAGTTTAATTTTTGAATTTTATTTAACATCTTTCAATTACAACAACGTATACGACACATTCTTTGGAATTTATTTTATATTATTTACTAGGGAGGTACAAAATTAATCGAAAACATTTTATTAAAGACTTTTGATCGAAAAAATATTTTATCGAATAACAATTGACCGAAAATTAAAATGATCGAAAAGAAAAATGATCGAGAAGAACAATGATCGAAAAGAACAATGATCGAAAAGAACAATGATCGAAAAGAATAATGATCGAAAATAGATTTGATAGAAAAAGCAATTGATCAAAAAACCAAATATACATAAGAATAAAAAAATTCAACTAATTTACCTAACCTGTGCAGCCTATAGCCATTTTATAAAAAAAACTTAAAATAATTTATCTAAAATATCCAATCGGGGGACAACTCGACCTTGTTATGTTATGTTATGTTATGTTTGGAATAGGATGTTAAACTACTGCGACCTAAAAAATCTATTGTATCCCCTTCTGTTGTTAATGCAGCAAGAAAATGTCTCAATGCTTATAATGATCCTTCCAATCTTATCTTCTAAAAGAAGAGTAGGATTTGGATTGGCTTCAAGTTAGGTAAATCTCCCTCTTCTATTTGATATGCTTTTAGGTATAGTACCCTTGGATTCTCTAGTGTTACACATTCAGTCAGAATGCGAATGGAGGCTTCGTCTTTCTCCTCGCAAAATATCTGCACTCACTATCTTCAACTACTCTCAATTTACTAAGGTGTTATTTTAGTCTTCAATGCCCAGTAAGAATCCCTGTTACAATACGTAGCCTGTTCTTGCTCAGGCAGATGCAGGCTGCCGATCTTTTCTGGTTATATTAACCCAGAAGTATCTAAGCTTGTCTTAGCCCCAATTATGGGTTCTTTTACTGCCCAATTCTTGTTTAATCTCTCCTAATATTATGTTACTGATGATACCGCAGAACGGCTCAGATCCCACAAAGAGTGTTTGAGTCCCTTTCGTTGCGAGACTATCTGCAATCTCGTTGCCCTGTTATGTCCCGGGACCCAAGTGAGAGTGATTGTATTTTTTTCGCCTAGCTCATTCAATTTTTCTAGGCATCTTCAGACAATTTTTGAACTGATTACGTAAGAGCTCAGCGCTTTGATGGCTGCTTGGCTATCGGACATGATGATAATCTCTTATCTACGATAGTTTCTCTCGATGTTAAACTAGATATACTTTTAGATGGCGTGAATTTCCGCCTGGAAGATGCTTGGTTATTTTCCCAAACTTTGCCCAGTTCTAGGTCCATACACCCTTATTCCAGTTTCTTCTATGGTTTTGAAAACATCTGTATACCACTGAATAGCATGTCTTTCGATAGCAAGAACGATGACTCTATTCTTTGTGCGAATTAATAATAATGCTCTAATTTCATTGACGATAAATAATTGTTTAGCTTTGAGAAAATTGTTAAAGGAGGCAGCTATCGTTTGAGATTATCAAAATTTTGTCAATAGTAGGGTCCCATTACAATTAGAACAATACAGCTACGTCATAACCGTTACTTCGAATTTCGAATGCATATTATCTATAACTATCAATAAATAAAAAATAAGTTGTTAGGTGAAAAATAATATTTCCTATATGCCTATAATATTAACACTCCACTAAACCCTCATAAGGCGGCGATAACCAATTAATTACTTTGCCAAATGATGACGTAGCTGTGTTCTTCTAATTGTAATCGGACCCTACCTACCTAATTTGACGACAGCCGCTGAGTATAGTTTCCTCATGGTATAAAAAATAAAAGGTAGGATATCAACAGTGTCAAAAATAGGACAGCCACGCGCATTTCGTCACGCGTAGAGTTTGTATAGGCGCGAATTTAAAAATACTGAGTGTGAGGAAAAAATATACGATTTACAGAAATTTCATGAATAAAAAAAGATAATATTTAAAAAATTACATGAAACAACTAAGGATATTATTATGGGATAGTTTAGAAAATAGCTATGAAGGGAACATAAAAGAAATATTTATTTGAAGTAACAGTTTTTATTTATTTTTCTTTTTAATGATTTTTTGTTATACAAATTAGAATCCCGGTTTTTAATTTTGAGAAAAATTTACTTTCTAAAGAATAAATCCTATGACCAGGATGATGAGAAGGGAATATTCGGAACTTCCCAACTAGGGACCCTGGGTAAAAATTTTGTATAGCCGGAAATTTTTACCTGATTAGGATTCGCAACTGGTGACTCATTTACCTGCATTATATTATGCAATTTGAATATACCTAACTACTTTTTTTATAAAAAAGATGGGATTTATGTATGAATAAGATGATAACAAAAATATTTTTTATTAATATAATATAATGCAGAGTATAAAAATAATGTACCAAATACAAATAATTACTACAGGGGTGGGTGAATATACAAAATTAAATTAGATTGTCACTGAATTGTCCTAGACTTAGTCGCTGACAGAGTTTTAAATCATTCATCAAGTACAAGTCGATTTTTTTTTTGCGACATTACAATTTCACCTTTACTTATACTGCAAAATTTTCAGCCTTCAAAGGGTAGAGTCTCCAGAAGAAGTACCGAGTTGCGAATAAACCAATGTGAAGTTCTGCTTTTAGATACCTCTTTTATTTGGAAGGTTGAAAGTGCTTGGAATACAAATGACAATTTTCTGTTTGAAATTTATTTGCACGGTCACACGCCACTGCAAGATCAGCTCCATGTCGAGTTTTCGTGAGAAGGCCTATAACAATTTCCTTCCTATTTGTTTTTTAATAAA